AATTAATGCTTTTAAGATGTCCACATTGCCCACTGATTCTATAAATTCAGTGCAACTGCTATCAAAATTTTATTGAAATTTTTCACAGAAATAGGACAAAAATCAGACTCTAAAATCTGTAGGGCTAAAAGAGACCACAGCAATACTGAGCAAGAAAAAACATCTGGAGGGTTTCTCCAGCAAAGAAAAAAATCAACAAAAATGGTAAATCATGTAATGAGAGAAAATACTTGTGAACCATATGTGTATATCCAACAGGAGTCTCATCTAAAATATATAAAGAATTCATACAACTAGATAGCAAAAATCCCCAAATAACCCAATTTTTAAAATGAGCAAAGGACTTGAATAGATTTTTCTTAAAAGAAGAAATTCAAATCATCAACAGGTATAAGACATCAACATTATTAATTATCAGATAAATGCAAATCAAAACCAAAATGAGATATTGCTTTATACTTGTTGGAATGGCTATTATCAAAAGGACAGAAGATCAGTGTTGGCAAGGATGTAGAAAAAAGAGAACACTTGTATACTGCTGGGATGTATAGTCATTATGGAAAACAGTATGGAGTCTCCTCTAAGAATTAAAACATGTTACTACATTGAGATCCAGAAATTCCATTTCTGAGTTATATCCAAAGGAAATAAAACCACAATTTGGAAATTATATCTGTACTCCCATGTTCATTGCAGCATTACACATAATAGCCAATATATATAAATCACCTATTTATTCCTCAACAGACAAATGGGTAAAGAAAATGTGTGTATATACAGTGTATGTATTTATGAATAAACATATTATAGAATATTATTTGTCCTTTTAGAAGAAAATCTTGCCATTTTCAACAGCATGATGAACCTGGAGGACATTACGGTAAGGGAAACAAATCAGACATGAAAAGATAAATACTTTTTGATCTTGTGAAATCCAAAAAGGTCAAACTCATAGAAACAGACAGTAGAAAGGTATTTACCAAGGGCCCAGTTTGGGGAGATGGAGAGATGTTGGTCAAAGTATATAAAATTTCAATTATGCAGAATGAATAAACTCTGGAGATCTAATATACAAACTAGGGACTGCTATAGTTTGAATGTTTTGTCCCCTCCAAATTTCACGTTGAAACTTAATCTCCAATTCAACAGTATTAGGAGGCAGAAGATTGGGGCATGAGGCCTCTACTCTTATGAATGGGATTAAGTGCCCTCATAAGAGGGCCTGACAAAGGGATTTTGTCCCTTATTTGCCTTTCCAATTGCTGCCTTATAGGGACAAAGCATCCCTCCCTTCTAGAAGATGGAGTTTAAGACATTATCTTGGAAGGGGAAATGGGACATCACCAGACCCCTAACCCTGCCAGTGTCCTGTTCTTACACTTCCCAGACTCCAAAACTGTCAGAGTAAATTTGCGTTCTATATAAATTACCCAGACTGTGACACTCTGCTGTAGCAGCACAACAGACTAATAGAGAACTCTACTGTTACTATATATAACAATGCAATATTACACTTTTGAAATTTCCTAAAAAGGTAGATAATAAGTGTTCTTACCACATATAGGGAAAAAAAGGTAATTATGTGAAGTTATTAATACATGAATTAGCTTCATTATGGTAATCATTTCACTATGTATATCAAAAATATTGTATTTTAAAAATATATACAATTTTTATTTGTCAATTATACCTCAATAAAACTTGGGAACATAATGCTAAAATGCATCAGGTTCCTTCCCCTTCATGATCTGGTTGAGTAAACCACTCTTGATGTTTTTAAAATGAATTTTCAACCTCCCAAAAATTTCAGAATGATATCCCCTAGGAAGACATATGACAGCAAGAAAAGGCTTCATTTATTTAGAAACATCAAATAAATTGATATTTCTTGGAACCCGAAGCTTTCTCCTTCAATAAACACCAAAGCATTTCTTATTTGAACCACTTTTGAGAGAACTCTTGCCAAGCTGCCTGATGTATTTCTGTGCCCTTTGCAGTCAGGGAATTCTAAACACATATTTCTTAAGCACCTAGGGTCATAAACTTCCCTAAAGAAAGAAACAGAAGGAAAATAACAGAGGGATAGGGAAAGGCACAGAACAGGAAAATAAATACCTAGTCTTTTCTGAAATCAAATGATGAATGTATACCAGTAGTAAAAACAGGTGAACGGAAGGTGTGATCATGCATTGTTCAGTATCAGAGTTGGGTATGTAATTGTGCATTTTCCTGACTCCTGCCTGGATGTCTGCTCTGAGAGTCACTGCCAGTGTCTCTGTGGAGAACCATGAAAAACCTACCATGTGCCTCTTTCGTCTGCTGCTCTAACAGTCACCATTGTCAGAGTCACGAATGGTTATCGTGGTTTGTCATGTGCTGGCCACAGGGCTATGTGCTTAACATGGATGATTTTATTTACTGCTCTCACTGGCTCCATGTGACAGGCACTGCTTTCAGGACCACTTTCAGAGACAGGGGCAGCGAACAGAACCTGCAGCGTTGCATTCTGGGAAACTGCAGAGGCAAAACATGACCCTGGTTATTCAGACTTCAGAGTCCTCATTTTGACTGCTGTGCCACGGTCCTGGGCATCCGAGAGGAGATGAAAGCAAGGGCTTATGAAGGAAGAACAGGTGAGGGTCTGCAGTGAGCCACAGCTTTGCGTCCCGAGCACGGGCCCCTTTAGTCAGCTGAGGTGCTGCACCGTGGGAGGCTGGGTGTAGTGAAATTCTGCAGAAGGCAATGAACGCCCATGTCTCATTAACTCCTCCACTCAATCCTGCCTCATCTTGAAAGGAAAATGTAGATTGCAAAATGCATAGATTCTAGAATATGCAGGTATGCAACCGCGCATGAATTTAGGACATTGCAGAAGCAAACTTACAGTGAGTAAAAAGAACTTTCAGATGAGTTTCCAAGAGACAACCAGCAAATGATGAAGCCATTTGCCAACACAGACGCGGCTCCCTATTTTCTCCCCACACCCTGAAAGGCTGTTTTCATTTGATGAACAGACAAACAAGGAGAATCTGCCTTGTTCCGCATACTTTATGATGCCTCTTAGGCTTTCTCCCAATGTGAAGCCCTGGTAGTGGCCTGTGAAGACTGGTAGGATCCAGTGTATGTATGGCAGAGAATAATGGCCTTTATTTATTGTTTGAATGGCAGTATTTATAGATGTAGGTATTTTTTAAATGCAAAACAATTGTCTCTATTTCTTGACAACTGTCACTTCCAGTCAATGCTGTAATCCAGCCAAACTGAGTTAAGTGCAGTCCCTGGTGGTCTGCAGACCGCCTTGTCTCAGAGCCATTATACCTGCTCCAGCCTCTTGCTGGGATCTCTTCCCTACTTTCCATTTCATGTCCATCCTCACCCCCAACATCCAGCTTCAGAATTCACTGCAACTGGTGCCACTACTGCAATAACAAACATTAGCTGCAAACAGAAGAAAACTTGAGACCAATGTGCCAGAGGAATTACAGGTTAATTCTATGATTATTTTTAAATACTGGTGTAATGTTAAATTTTTACTTAATTTCCAACTTGAAAAATATAAGTGAATCTGTCAAAATACAAATATTTTCTTTCTGTAAAATTCCAATGATATTTACATTCTATTTTGGAAGTACTGACTTAGGGTAAAGCAGTTCTTCATTAGTTCATAGTGCAGTGTGGTAAGTTCTGAAGTCAATTCCTATAAGGTCTGATAGGCGAAACGAGTTTTAAAATCCATATTCAGTATGTATCTCATTCCAAGACATTGCATGTTACTGATATTTATACTACTCACCAATAAAAGAATGTCAGGTTTCCCCACCAGGGCCAGGGCTGTAGAGAGTTTCCGCCTGGTTCCCCCACTGTAGGTGGCCACAGGTTTATTGGCATGGGCTTCGAGGTGTAAGCGCCTCACGAGGTCTCCAGAAACCTGGAAGAGAGCAACTGTCTCACTGCCCATTGCCACTCATCAGAGCGCCAGGGAGACCCCAGGGGCTCAGCCCTGATTCCTGCACCGTCCTCCCACTGTCCCTGCCCACCTTTCCCATCCACAGTCAAGTGCGTCTCCTAAGACCTACAGGTGGAAGTTTTTTCTGTGCCTGGAGATGTCTCAGGGAGGGTCAGGAGCTCAGGGAAGGAAGGAGGAAAGACAGAAAGACTCCAGGCTGGACGCAGGTGAATATCCAGAAGGGCAAAGGACGGTGAGCCAAAGAGAAGACTGAGAAAACTGAATGGGAATGAAACCAGAAGAGGGCAGTGTGGAAACCTCACAGGGGAAGAATTACCTGAAGGAGAGTTATGTTCAATATTTACACAAGGAAAGAAACTGCCCCAGGATGGTGGGGAGCCACCGTCAGAGTTTGTACACTCAGAGTTTGGTTTATAAACTAGTGGTGGGAGAGGCAATGGGGAAATGTTTCTTATTCACAATTGCCAGAAACCATTATATCAAACCCTGGGGATAGTGGCTGCATTCACCAAACCCACCCACTCAGTCACAGAGGAATTTTGGCTTTTTCCAGGGGCCTGGAGCTCATGGCAACTTTATTCTTCACAACCTTTCAACCAGCCAGCTTTTCACACACCTGTGAAGGCTTAGCCTATTCCCATATCTCTCCTCAGAGGAAATAACTGTCACCACTCTGTGTGTTGTGAGCCTACAGAACACTTTTACTGAGTACGTCCCAGTGCATTTGTACCGCACCACAATTCCTGTTTCCAGCTCTGTCTCCTGTGCTGAACTGGTTCCTCTTAGGGCCCAAATTAAGCAACTTCTTTGTTCCCAACTCCACATAATTTAAAAACACTGCAGTTTTATTTAAGTCTTGTGAACACAGATGTATTAATATAGATACATTATTTTAGATAATATCAAACAGTCAACTGACAAGATGATAGGGTTATGTAGATGGGTTCATAATTGTGTTTCCTAAATAACTGAATAAAACAGTATAAATTAATGCATGTTTTTTTTTTTTTTTTGAGACAGAGCCTCAAGCTGTCCCCCTGGGTAGAGTGCCGTGGCATTACAGCTCACAGCAACCTCCAACTCCTGGGCTCAAGCGAGTCTCCTGCCTCAGCCTCCCAAGTAGCTGGGACCACAGGCGCCCGCCACAACGCCCGGCTATTTTTTGGTTGCAGCCGTCATTGTTGTTTGGCAGGTCCAGGCTGGGGATTCGAACCTGCCACCTTAGGTGTACATGGCTGGCGCCTTAGCTGGGTGAGCTATAGGCGCCTAGCCTTAATGCATATTTTTTGATAAGTATATGAAAGTTGGGATTAGAATGATAATGACAGTAATGATAGTAAGATTTTAAAAACCTTTAAAAATACTGATAATAATTATGCTGCCCAACAAAGACTCTCAATAGAAATGTCGCTATCACTTTATTTGTATAGCCTCAAAACACATTAGAAATGAATTAAGAGGCTCAAGAACAGTTCTTGTGGCCAAATAGCATAATTCAAGGAAATGCAGTTTCATGAAACTGAAATTTTAAATCTCTGGCCATCTGCCAAAGAAAATCAGCTCAAGGCCAGTAGTTTGTCCTTACTGAAAACAGCAATGTGATCCTCCCAGATTGTTTACTATGAATCATCCTTTTTACTGGCTCCATTCAGTCCAATTATTTCTTTCTTTTTTTTTTGAAATGGAGTCTCACTGTGTCGCACTTGGTATAGTGCTGTGGCATCACAGCTCACAGCAACCTCAAACTCTTAGGCTTAAGCAGTTCTCTTGCATCAGCCTCCCAAGTAGCTGAGACGACAGGTGCTCACCACACCTGGCTATATTTTTGTTGCAATTGTCATTGCTATTTGGCAGGCCCAGACTGGGTTCAAACTCGCCAGCCTTAGTGTATGTGGCCAGCACCCTCGCCTCTGAGCTACAGGCACCAAGCCAGTCCAGTTATTTCAATCAATATAAAATGAAAAACAAACGTCATTTAAATAAATAAAAATATCCAAATACAATTCAATATTCAAAATAAGCAAACACACAAATATTAATGGAAGTGACAAGTAAATATAGACATATGATGTCTGGCATTGAGGAATTAAAGATACAATAGAAATAGCAATGTAGATTCATCCTGACTTCCCAAGAGTGGCATGACTAAGAAGTATAAGACCAGTTCCTGAAGAGTCCCAAGAGAGATGAGGGAAGGGAATCAGGAAAGGTTCCTGGGAGAGAATGCACAGTCCCCATAGAAAAGAAGGAACTTAAAAACACAGTAGACACTGTTGGGAAGCTTTATGTCTTAGAAAAAGCAAATATAATAAGTCCTTACTTAACATTGCCAATAGGTTCTTGGAAACCACAACTTCAAACAAATTGATGTACAGGGTGTCCATAAAGTTCGTGTACAATTTTAAAATGTCTGTAATTTTGTACGGGCACATGAACTTTATGAACATCCTGAATAATGAAATCAATTTTATCATAGGCTAAATGATGTAAATAAGAGTTCCTAGGGCTATTTCTGGTCACAGAAACATCATCATATTCCTAAATAAGAACCAAAACACTTTTAATGTTAAACACTGAAATAAATGTGAGTTGTATACACATTTAAGACAGATTAATAAAAACAAGATAATTATTTGTCCAATTATTCCAATTCAGGGACATGGATGGCCAGTAGCTATCCTGATGACTCAGGGCAGGAGGCAGAACCCCACGCTGAACAGTACAGAATCTCATGGCAGAGAGTGTGCTCTCTCTCTCTCTCAGACCTGGACAATTTAGACATGCTGATTAACTAATGTGCACAACTTTGGGATATAGGGAGGGAACCAAAGTATCCAAGGAAAACCCAGGTAGAACAGGGGGGAGAGAGCATAAAGTCTACACAGACAGTTCAGGGGAATTGATTTTGTTTTTCACATCATCATTATAATGAAACTCTATCAAACTATGTAACATTATTCAAGAACCTGCTTTAATAGGAGTGAGGATGATAAAAGGGGCAAATTAGAAAAATAATATTTTTGTTTATTTTTTGCATTCATAAAAAATTACAGAAAAGAATGAAAATATGTCTGTATGTATATGTATTAGAAAAAAATTATTTTTTTATTTAAAATTTATTTTATTTAAAATTAGCAATACATAAATGAAATCTGACAGACAAATGATATAAAATGTAATCATATATACAATCTGGTTCTGTATAAATGACTTCAGAATGATAAGAGAAGTTTAGAATAAACTTGCCAAACTATTATTGCATATTTTTATAAAATCAGAAAACATATGTCATGTTTTCCCAACTTCACCAAAGGTTAAATGTTTTAGCTAGCAAATTTTGGATTGGTTAACTATAGGAAAGATTCCAGTATATATAGGAATAAATGTGTCAGTTTGATCTAATGCTTTGTGAATGTCAACTTGTCACAAAACTGAAAATAGCCTAATAACAAGTATTTTGTTGTAGTCTTTTCTGCACTCAGCACCACTGTCAAAGTAACAGCAAAGACAAGGCCTTTGCAATGTGGCTGCCAAACGCTGCCTAAACCCCCAAATGTCATAAGTTCCTAGAGGCTCTATGCAGGCTGGTATTTTTCACCCACAAAGCTCTAGAAGTTGTATTATAATAAGGCAGGAGATTAGGATTCATTTGTTTTTATATCACTACTGCTTAATTATGCTTGGCACACAGTAGGACTTTTATAAATATTACTGGAGCCAAAATAAATTGCTCTGAGATTCACACATGTCATGTGTTGGGTTCCAAAGCCAATGCTTTTCCTCCAGCACATAGGATGGCCATGTGGACATTTCCTGTGAGACAAAGTCTCCACGCTGCAGACGCTGGAATGGGTGTGGAGAGAAGGGAAACCTAATACAGCACTCTTGGAAAGTAGTATGAACAATCCTCAAAGAGCTGAAAGTAGACCTTCCATGTGACCCTGCAATCCCATTACAGCATCTACCCAGAAGAGAAAGAAGCCGTTCTCCCGTAAGCACATCTGCGCTAGAATGTTTATCACAGCTCTGTTCATAATTGCCCACAAAGAACCAAGTGCTCATCAACTCACAAATGCATAAACCATGGTATATGTACACCATCTAATAATATTCAGTCATAAAGAAAGAGGGAGACTTTACATTCTTTTTTTTTGTATTTACCTGGATAGATTTTGGAGAACATCCTCCCAAGTAAAGTGTCACAAGAATGGAAAAGCAGCATCCAAGGTACACAACTGTTCTGAAACTAGTAAATGAACAACTACATGCCACACAAGAAAAATAAAACACAATTAAATTCAAGTGGGGGAGGGGAGGAGAGAGAGGGGGTGTTGGGAGGTGGCTGGGTCAGTTGTCACCTAACAGGCACAATGTGGAGGTACACGGCCCACCTTCTGGGTGAAGGTCTCAGCTGCAACTTAGACATTACCTAACAAATGCTACCTACGTAAACCAATCATTTGTACCCATATATTAATTTGAAATTAAAAAAAAAATTCTGTAGGCAGTGCCTGTGGCTCAAGGAGTAGGGTGCTGGCCCTATATGCTGGAGGTGGAAGGTTCAAACCCAGTCCCAGCCAAAAACTGCAAAAAAAAAAAAAAAAAGTTCACCAAAAAATTCGGTGAGATTAAAGATCGAAATGGGTAATTAAGTAGGAAAAAGGAGCCAAGGATCTCAGACAGAAATGCCTTTCTTCTCACTCTATGACAGTGACCTCCTGGCCACCTTCTTCCTCTATTGAAACTTCTAGGAAAACTGTGAATAGAAGAAAATTCACAGACCAGAGTCACCTCCACAGAAAAGATGAGGAGAAGGAAAACGCAGAGTCACGTCCGCAGAGAGATGACGGGAAGGAAGTCAGAGCAAGGGTTCTCCTCGGAGGGATTTGCAGGTATTGGCAAAAATAAGATGCAGTGAGCCCTACTCTTGTATACCGGGGAACACCAAAACGTGGCACTCACCAGTTTTCCTCCCTGACACTAACCTGAAATTATCCACTACAACTGGTTTCTCTTACACGTTTTCTGTGGCAAGCCAGATTATGTAGCCCTCAACTCCTCATTTGGCCATAACTTGATATCAAATTTTTCACCAGGTTAACTGAATTCAGGCTCAAATATGTGCCCTGTACAAAACCGTATAGTATGGACGGCGGGGAAATGGAGACTCACTCTGTGCCCTGCAGAGCCTAAACTCAGGCTCTGTGGAGAGGTATCTTTTCTCATGTAACTCTGAATTTTAGAGGGTAGGGGGGTGACATGACTATAGAGAGAAATGACCAACCAGCTGGAGCATGAGTGGGCTGGGAGCCCTGGAGAGCAGACAGTGCTCGGCTAGGTGTTGGGGAGAGGACATGAAGCTCAGTGGGCAGGACCTGCAGCAGGCACAGGAGGGTCTCCCTTCCCCACAGAGGAGAGAGGAAGGCTGATCAGTAAGAGGATGTCCCAGGACCCCTCCAGCAGGAACAGGAAGGTCTCCCTCCCTCTCAGAGGATATAAGGAAGGCTGATTAGTAAGAGGATGTCCCAGTACCCCTCCAGCAAGCACAGGAAGGTCTCCCTCCCTCTCAGAGGTATAAGGAAGTCCAATCAGTAGGAGGAGGTCCATGCTTGGAGGAGTCACGTGATGACCCTACAGAGCTTCTGCTTCTCCAGACACCCCAAGGGCATAAAAAGCTAGACTGAGCCACAAATAGCAGCCACAAATAGCACGAGGAATTGATCCCATCTTATTTCTAAGTGTCAGAGCAGTGTGTGAATCAGGAACATGTTCTCTTGAGCTTGTTTATCTGGGTTCAAAACAAAACCCTGCCACATACTAACCATGTGAACTTGGATAAATTACCTAATCTCTACATGCCTAAGTTTCCCCATGTATAAAGTGGGGAATGAACATGGACTTGGTATGGTTGCTGTAAATTGCTTCAGATGGTGCCTGACAGAGCAAATACTGAAAAATTAGCAAAAATAATTGTTTTCTCTTATTTTATAATAATTTCTTCTGGTAACCTTGTGATAAACACCTCAGAATAGATATGCCTATTCTATATTTTAAATATTCACAAAATTTATAGGAGAATAAATGTACCAGAAAAGGCGCTAAGTCCTTTGGGAACAGATGGAAAAGTGTGCTGACATCTTAGAAACAAGAGTAGCAGTACTGTCTGCAGAATCAGTTGCAGTTTTATAAAAGAAATGAAGCCAGTTCCTAATTGGCGACCATTAAAATAACTTGCCTTGGTAGAGCGGTTCAGAAAAACAAGGCTGGAGACAGCTGAGTATCAGGAGGCAATTGCCCTGAATGACAGGAAGCACCAAGCCGTGGGATATTAAGGAGAGCTTTTCATAGGCACTTTTCCCCTGAACAACAAAGGGGCCGCTTAACACATTTGCCAAGCATCCTCCTCTTTAATCAAAAACTAACAAGGGGGAGCTAACGGAGTTGAACATCTATCTATTAAAGACTGAGCGAACATTTAGTCCCGGATTTCAATAGCTGTTTAACAACGATGAGCCGGTCTCCTGTGGGGTGGTCAGTTATCTTTGCTTTATTAAAACGGGAGGTGAATAAAGGGGCCAGGGACCCTTCAACGATATGGAGAGATTTTGTTCTAGTTTCACTTGAAGTTACAGAGCATAACTAAGAAAGGGAGGCTGAAGCATTCCACAAAACAGCACAGAGAGTGAGTTTTCACAGACCAGTGAAGGCAATGGCTATTAGTTTTGTCTCCTGTGAGTCCTAGGATGTTCCATCTCTTGAAGAGTAATTGCAAATGCATCACATTTCATTTCAATGCATCACACTTATCTCTACTCCTTGTTCAGAATCCAGAAATTCAAGGAGCCAGCACCTCACAGACTCTTGATAATCATATGCAGGAAAGGTAAAAGTGGGCCTTAAGCAACAGCCATGCCAGCGGCTCCTGGCACTACAGCCTTGGAGCTGTCAATCAAGGCTATCTTGCTCTGCTTGGCTGGCCACTGCCTGCGAGAAAAGTGGCAGCTGTCTCTTGTTCTCTCACTGTTCACCTGCCACCCTCTCCTCTCCCAGACAGTGATGGAGATGGAGGCCCTGCAGTTGCTGCCACCAGTTTCTTGTCCTAAGGCCACCCAGAAAGAAACCCACAGGCAGGACTCTTTAGCCCACATACCAGGAGGCCATGCATTCCAGCTACTCCCAAATTCCACAGGCTCCGTCCATTCCCGTGAGCCCTGGGAATACTTAGCTAATGATATTTGTTCCTGAATAGTAATAGTCCAGTAAATGTAAAAGGCATTTAGAGAGGGAAAAAATAAAAAGAACAAGCTACACAAAGTTACAAATGATGTTTTCTATATGCTTCAACTCCTACCACGTGACTTTCTATACCGAGACATTATAATATGAAAATAAATGAGACAGGCATAGTTTACTGTTTCCTTCAATATAATCATATTGGAAAGTACTATTCAGGTTACGTTTATCTGGTACTATCATTCCTTCTCACAGGGGGAGAGAGCTTTCTTGGGGATCACCAACATTCCTCAGTGGTTCCCTTTTTTGGGAAAACTCCAAGGACACTTACTTGAGAGATGTACTGCTTCGGAATCCCACGTAAGCTGCAGTAGTAGTGGAGATGTTCCCAACCCGTCAGAAGCTCATCCAGGGCATCCTTCTGTGGACAGTAGCCAAGGAGCACGCCTGCCGCACCCGCAGAAGACAGGTCCAGCTCCCCTCTGCAAGAGAAGCAGTGAGGCTGAGAACAGCAGCTTCCAAAACAAGCAGCAACCCATCCTTTAATTGGATTCATCAAGTCCACTGCAGTTTGTTTAAAGCAATTAATTCATTTTCCATGAATAGTTTCAATTAATAAAAAGTGAAGGATTTCAGGATATATTCCCCCAAATATGCCTTTAGCATATTGATTACTTTGAGCAAGAGGCAATTGAGAACCAGCAAAGGAAAAGCTATATGTTTTCCTTTAAATGCCTAAAAATTGCATATGAATTTCCCCTTTTGAAAAAGAAATTCTTGTTAATAAAGGAAATTTTTATTTGTAAAGTTGTATCCATAGTAAGGAGAGAGTTACTTCTCTAGACAATTTTGGTCACATAGAGGCTTTTATTTGCATAATGATACAACCCTAATTCACCATATATTTCCTCCCCTCACCTTCCCATAATTTGGCTCCCCTGCCATTTTTAATTTTTCTTTAGCCTAAGATAGTGTATGAGCCTCCACCATCTGGCCTGCTCTTTGAGTCTTTTTTTTTTTTTTTTATGAAACTGCTGTGCATATGTACAAATTCAATTAAACATGCTTTCTCATTAATAAGTACTTTGCCATTTTCACATCCAACTCTAACCAGAGAACTTAAGAAAGTAAAGGAAAACTTTCTGCTCCCCCACAGTAGCAACCTGTGCGTAAGTAGAACAAGCTTGACTCCAGCATCAGAGGCCTGGGTATTAAATGGGGCAGCTCGGCAACAGCTTTGAGCATTAAAGAAAAACAGGTATTTGGCAAATAATGTTTGCTCAAGAGTGGTTATCATATTTATTATTTTCCAATAAAAACAATTCATGTGAACAACAAGTAAATCAATGATTTGTGAACTAACGTAAAATCACAACCCCTTAGCCAGTTGAATGGCTCATCCATTGACCAATTTTAATGCTGATTTGTAGGCTGTGAGAAGAAAGGAGGTCAGACATACCTTGTCCTGCTTCCTCCCTTTCGGAGTTATACTTTGAATCATGAAAATACAAAATCATTAATAAACCCAAGGCCAAGTGAGCCAAATGTTAAACCCCACCTGCAGGTCATGGGTTTACTGGACACACCATGTGAGCATGGCTGTGTGTCCTACGACTCATCTCTGATTAACTGACAGACTTCTTGTCTTTGATTAACAGACTTTGTTAACTTAAAACATTCCAGGCCTTCAGACAAAGCTTCATTTCTTCAATCAATTACAAATCATAGAATCTTTAAACCCACATATAACTGTAAGCCTTCCCTCCCACCCCTGCCTTCAAGATGACCTGCCTTTCCTGGCCAAAGCAACATATGCAATGCGTCTCAGGTACTAACTTATGATTTTAAGATTTTGCATGAAATTTTATGATTTTACTTATAATTTTACATGTAATCCCTGTCTCCATGAATGCAAAAACAAAACTACAACCCTGCCACCAAAAGCACACTTTTAGGTCCTCTGGACGCCATGCTCTGGTCTAGTCATATACATTCAGCACAGAATAAATATCTTAATTAATTATCTTACAGAGTTTGTTTTTCATTAGCAGACTTAACTATCATTCAGTTACTGATCTTTTATAAAACTAAAGTTTTGTCATAATAATTATAGTATATCTAATCTCTCATTGAACATACAGAATAAGGAAAAAGGAGAATTCCTGATCCCAACTTTCAGTGATTTCTTCTATTAATATTACAATGTTAATCCTTTAAAGACAGCTGAGCTACGCGATGGTGGATGAGATTATATAAGACTTTCTCTACTGAAATAATTTTTAAAACTCATGTTTTATTTCTAATTGTAACATTAATGCATATTCATTGAGGAAATTGTAAAACTACTCAAATATGATTAACATTTTGACTATTTTATCACTGACTTGTTCCTATGCATTTTTACATAGATAAAATTGTAGTGAACATAGACGTTTCTGAGAATACTTCAGGAAGGAAAATTCCTATTTCCTAAATGGAGAATAATGTAAAGAAAAGTATGCCAAGAAATCATGACTCCTACAAGAAGTGAATATTAGCTTTTCTCAAAAAAAAAAGCAATCCACAGTAACAAAAGGATTCTTATTTTTAATATCTATGACACATTATAAGTACATGAAAACAAGTAAACAATGAAAGAAAATCGAGTTTTCTATAAAATTTTAAGTTTTATAATTTGTTTTTTCTTTCAAAATCTTATAAAAATCACTTCTCCAAACTTTCCCACCTAAATTTAGTGTAGCCAAAAGTTTATTTCAGTCTGATTTTGCTATACGGTAGGAAACTATATTTTCTGTCTCTTCAGCCTTAGAAATACTCTTTATCAGTATAGTCGCAGAGCAGTAAGCACTTCAGTTTCCTCCGGGTCTTTCCCTGGCTTGGTAGTTCTTCCCTTTTCATTACTGAATAATATTCCATTGTGACCATGAACTATAATTTATTTTTCCATCCACCTGTTGAACGGCATCTTGGTTGCCTTCAAATTTTGGCAATTATGAATAAAGTTGCTGCAAACATCCATGTGCAAATATTTTTGTGCATAGGAACATACGTTTTCAACTCCTTGGGTAAATGCCTAGGAGAACAACTGTGGGAAGATTGTGTTTAGGTTTATAAGAATCTGCCAGACCATCTTCTGAAGTATTTGTACCGTTTTGCGTTCCAGCCAACAGCAAAGGAGAGGTTCCTATGACTACCCGTCCTTGCTGGCATTTGGCGCCGTCAGTGTTTTGTATTTTATTTTCCTATCGTTTTAACTGGCAATTCCCCTATGACAGATGATGCTGGGCACCTTTTCCTATATTTGGCATCTGTCTGTTTTCTTTGGTGAGGTTCAGAGATCTTGCCCACATTTAACTGGGTTGTTCATTTCTTATTTTGAGTTTTAAGGGTTCTTTGTATATTTTGGATACAAATCTTTTATCAGAAATAGGTCTGCAAAGATTTTTTTCCTACTCTGTGAAATGACTTTTCGATATCTTAACAGTGTCTTTGCAGAGAAGTTTACTTTAGGGAATTCAGATTTACTGACATTTTTTTTCATAGATCATGCTTTTGATGTTTCTAAAAAGGCATTGACAAATCCACATTCCCCACACCTACTCCTTTGTTGTCTCCTGTAATTTTTATATTTTTACAGTTAGGTCACAGATCCATATTGAGTTAAGTTTTAAGACAGGTTTGAGTAAGGGCCCAGCTCACTGCTTTGCTTATTTGTGACCATTTGTTTCTGTACCATCTTGGTGAAAAGATGCCCCTTTCTTCTCTCAGCTGCCTTTGTTCCTTTGTCACAGATCAGATAATTGTATTTGTGTGGGTCTATTTCTGGGATCAATAATCACTGTAGCCTTATGGTAAACCTTGAAGTCAGGCAAGATGAGCTGTTAGACTCCATTCCTCTTCCCACACTGCTTTGCTGAACACAGGGTTTTTGCTTTTCCATTTAAAGTTGAAAATCAGTTTGTCAATATCCACAAAGTAACATGATTAGAGTTTGACTTGGATTGAGTTGGATCTAAAGCTAAAGTTGGGTAGAACTATTAAAAACATCTTAATGTATTTGAGTTTCTTTAGGATTTTGTAGTTTTCCTTATGTAGATCGTATAATAATTTGTTAGATTTATATCAAAGTAATTTGTTTTATGGAGTGTTAATATAAATAGTGTTTTAAATTTAAAATTCTAAGTATTCATTGCAGTTATATATGGAATGACTTTTCTGTATTAACTTTGAATCTTAAAAACTGGATATAAGTGATCATTTATTAGTTCTGGGAGTCCTCTGGACAATTCTTTGGGAGTTTCTTTAAACAATAACAGTTTTATTTTTTTCTGCCCAATCTGTATGTTTTTTAATTTCCTTTTCATGTCTTATTGAAGTATTTAGAACAGAAAGTGGAATTCTGAACAAGAAGGGTGAAAGAGGACACCTTTGTCTTATTCCCAATCTTAGAAGAAATGTAGCTTCTTATCACTCAGTGTGATATTTCTTGTAGGCGTATTGTAGCTGCAGGTTTATTATAGATTTTATAGTTTTCTTTTGTTTTGTTTTTTGCAGTTTTTGGTCAGGGGTGGACTTGAACCCACCACTTCTGGCATATGAGGCCAGCACCCTACTCCTTTGAGCCACAGGCACCACCGTATACATGTTTTTTATGAAGTTGAAGAAGTTATTTTCTATTCCTAGTTTACTGAGAGTTAGCCTTAGGAATGGGTATTAGGTTTTGCCAACTTTTTAAATTTTATGCATGTTAATATGATCAGATAATTTTTCCTCTAGATTTTCACGTATTGAACACAGTTTTAATACCTGGAATAAATTCCTATTGGAAATGGTATATAATTCTTTTAGTGCATTGCTGAATTTAGCTTCATAATATTCTGTTGAAATTTTTTACATTATACTTTGAGATACTGGTCTATGGTTTTCCCTTCTTGTAATGTCTTTATCTGGTTTCACTGTTATGGTAATCTTGATCCCATAAAATTAATTAGGAAATGTTCCCTCCATGTCTGTTTTCTGGAAGACATTGTAATGAATTGATTTTCCTTCTTCTTCTTCTTCTTCTTTTTTTTTTTTTTTTTTT